ACTTTGGTGTCACTACTGCCTGTGTTAAAAACCTGGATTCCTTACCTTACCACATTGACTCTAAAACCTGTCAGGCATTCAAGGCTGTACCCGGTCACACATGCTGAGCCTAACACGCAGCCTCGACACACTCCGTGGGTGGACACTGTCGCTGGCCTCCCAGCTCTGTTTGCCGTCTTGCGGTGCTCCCAACGGCGGCACCTGCAGCCCAGCTTCCGCAGGCTGTCTTCAGGCTACCGGAGCCATTCTGCCACATTTGCAGACCCAGAACCGGGACTGTCCAGCAGGGCATTGAGAAGCCCAGCTCCCTTGGGACAACTCTTAGGCCTAACTTACTGCGAGCACCCCTTGCAGGATCAGGCTAAGGCCCAGCCCTGGCAGACTTTCTCCCGAGCCCACACCCTGGTCTGGCTTCCTCCCCTTCCCTGTCCTGCTTCCCAGGCTCTTGACAGTCTCAGGGGAACATTTCCTTAATAAAGAACCTGCCTCAAATCCTTGTCTCAGGGTTTTCTGGGGAACCCAACCTTAAGCACCCTCTAAACAGGTGAGCTCACTTCCCCTCCTCCACGCTGCATCTGCCCCATAATGATCGCTGGTTCCCTCCCATAGAATGCCCTCCTCTCACCCTTCTTCTCTCTGCTTAGGACAGGGTGCGTAACAATCAAATAAACTATTGTAAGCGACACACTTCAAAAGCTGTGAAGTACTCTACAAATGGGAATCACCTGTAGTAATAATTAATCTCACCCATCCTTCTAATCTGGATCTCACGCCACCCCTCCATGAAGGGGTGCCCTGCAGCTCTCCCCACATTTTTATTTAATCATCTGTCTCCCCAGCTACAGTGTACACTCCATGAAGGCAAAGACTTTTTGTCTTGTTTGCTGCTGTAGCCTCAGCACCTAGACTGGTGTCTGGCACACAGGGCACGGTTAGCAAATATGTGCTAAATAATTGCCCACCTCGAGGATCTCGCTCTATTTTCGACCCTTCAGGAAATGAAGGGCTAACAGCCATGTTAAGGATCACCTGGAGTGCCTATAGCCCAGAGAGGATAAATGACTTGCCTGACATACAAAACTACTTAGTGGCAGGGCCAGGATCTGATCCTTGATCTCTTATCTCCCAGACCTGAGAACTTTCCACCTGAGTCTCCACCTCCAGGCCCTACGTCTTCCCTGGACGGGCAGTGACAGGGAAAAGTGTAATCTTGGGGCCGGCCCAGTGGCACAGGGGTTAACTGCGCGCACTCTGCTGCAGTGACCTGGGTTTGCAGGTTCGGATCCTGGGTGCACACTGATGCACCACTTGTCAAGCCATGCTGTGGCGGCGTCCCATACCAAGTAGAGGAAGATGGGCACGGATGTTAGCCCAGGGCCAATCTTCCTCAGCAAAAAAGAGGAGGATTGGCATCGGATGTTAGCTCAGCGCTGATCTTCCTCACAAAAAACAAACAAAAAAAACTGTAATCTCTTCTTCAACCAAACTACTGGCATCTGGGCCATTCAACTGAATGAGACGCTATCTTGTCATGAAGATGGACTGGGATTTTTAGCACAATAGTTTTGTGTGTGTTGTTTTCATCTCCCCAGCTAAACAGGAAACTTCCTGGTAGCAAAGACCTCCCTGAATTCACCCCCACATTGTCTACAGGACCTTGCACAGGGCTGTGCACAAGTATCAGCAGGAGGAAGGAAGCAGACAGAGGTGAAGAGTGCAGACTCTGGAATCAGACAGACCTGGCCTCAACTGCAGCTCTGCACTTACCACCTGTGCGACCTTGAACAAGTCGCTGAATTTCTCTGCACCTTGCCTAGTACTGCGAGAGTGGTAACAGTCCCTGAATCCCAGGATTATTGAGAGGACCTACTGAGATAGTAAATGTAAAGCCTTTCTCACAATGGCTGGTATAAGGCAACCACTCAGTAAGGATAACCCGCAGTTAGTAATAACAGTAGTAGTAAGGGTAGTAAAGAGAGGCTCCATAAACACCAACTACCAAAGGCTTAAACAGGCAAGGGTCAGAGACCTGGGTTCAGAAAATCCCCTGCTTACTAATGCCTATGAAATAAGTAAGATCTCATGTCAGGTGTCTCCTTTTCCCCATAAAAGTAAGATGCTCAGTGACCAAACAGTTCCCAATGCCTCTCTCTACAGGGACAGACAAAACCCCCAGTTTGCTCGTGGGGGTCACCACCAATCCATCTCCTGACTCCTGGCACTCTGCTTTGCCCCACTCTGCAGAGCTTCCCTTTGGTTTAGGCCAGGAGAGCGGTATGGGGCACTCTGCATTCATCAAGGCCTCCCTTCTGAGAGCCTCTTCACCTGGCCCTCTTTAGACTGTTCATTCATTCATTCAATGAGCACGTGTTTATCAAAGGGTGGACACTGGATCAAAAGCTAAGCCAGATGAGCTCCCGGCTCTCTAGGACCTCCCAGCCCTGAGAGTCCTCCAGCTTGTCTTTCTTCATCAGAGACTACCTTTGAAGGCTTTCCTTCCTCCCAAGCAACATCAGGATGACTGCCTCATAATCAGCAACAATAGCAGGGGAACTGGAGTCAGACTGCCAGGGTTAGAATCCTAGCTCTGCCAGTTCACTTCCTTATTATGTAACCATGGGCAAATTTCCTCCCCTCTCTGCCTCACCCACCTCACCAATAGAATGAGGATAATAATACCTACCAAGCAGACTAGCTGTCAGAATGAAACGAAAACCCAGTGAAGTCTTTAGAATAGTGCTTGGCACTTGGTAATAAATGTTTGCTAATACTAGTTTACAACTTACAAAAATATCCAGTCTCAAGTCTAGTATGGTTGTTTGGCCATTAACACAACAAAGACCTAAGCCAACAACTGAAGAAGTAAAATGTTCTGAACTATTGCTATGTCATAGCAAGACTTTCCTTTTTCAGGCCTATGCTGAGCCAGCTGAAATCTCTGCTTCCAGGAAAAATGTAAAGAATCTTCAGCCGGAACCAAGTTCTATTTGGTAACTCAGACTTAAACAAGGGTCTAGCACCAAGAGCATCCTGAGAGCTCAGCTGACAGGGAAGCGCAGGAGGCTGCCCTGGGCAGGGTGGGACCTGCTGCAGAGGCTGACTCCAGAGATCCCAGTAAGGCAGCCTGAGGCCCAGCATCCAAGGTTAGTGCAGGTTCTGGAACCAAGGGACAGTCAACCAGAGGGCAGGACGGAGCAAGGGAAGTCCTGACAACTGGCAACATTCGAGATCCAAGATGGTGACAATGTGGTCTTGGGTGACATGTCACTGACAGCAAGCCTCTCAGCCTGTGGCCCATATGAAGGAGGGTCCAGCTCTCAGGGGAGGCAGCCGGCAACAGGGAGGCAGGATTCCCCAAGCAAGTGAATTTGGGTTAAGAACAGTCCCAGTAGGAAGCATGGTGCTAAGCAGGTAAATCAGGACAAAAACCCATTCGAATTACCAGAGCTAACACAGCAGGTGAATGGGAGAAGGTATTAAAAGGGAGAAAAAGGGAAAGGGAATGATAAGACCCAGAGGCCACAAGTCACTCGGGGCTCATCCTGGGCACACCAGAAGCCAAGTCTAGTAGCAACAAAGACTTGACTCCAAGCTCCTCCAACAGTGGGGCAGCGGCACCGAAAATGCTACTTCCCTTCACTGAGAATCTGTTGACCCAGCTGTGGACACCTGTGCAGAAAGGCAAAGGCAGGAAAATGACACAGCAGGGCCCAAAGGCAAACCCAAGACCAAAACATTGTAAGAAGCAAGCATTCCAGGCCAAGGCAAGGGCGTAAGTGTTGGTGCGTAGCTCTCACTCTGCATGCTCAGCACTTTAAATGAAAGTAATCAACAGTAGGGTGACCAGGAATGTGGGGTGAAACATGGGGCACAGTTCTATTTTGGGTTAAGTCTTTCCTGGAGAAGGCAATTAGTGGCAGCTGACCTAAGTACGTTTTCTGTATCTATAGCGTTTTCTCTCAGCCATCAAATCCAGAGGACAGATGCCAAAGGCCTCTAGAGGGTTAGTCTCTGGATAATGACCTAGCGACTCAGGACATTCTCCATTTCACATCCATCCCCAACACTCAGACACTCCTCTTCCCAAGGCTCTGGACCAGAGCCAGATTTCAGCCCCACACCCTCCCCACCCCAACATGGCCATGACCCATGATCTTGCCATTTAGGGGCCACACCAGTCTTTAGGGCCTCCTTCCACAAACTGCTCCAGGGCAGTGGAAAGGAAAAAGCCAAGAGCGTTCACAGCACCAGAAAAAAAGACGAGATCCCAAATCAGGGGTAGAGCAACTTTTTCCCAGACCAGGGACGACCCCAGGGATTCCCAGGCTCAGCAATAAAACTTAGGGGGCTCCCCCCTCTTTGTGCCTGACTGCCACAAAATGCTAAGCTGGTCACCTAACTCTGGCTGTGTCCTTGCCAAAGTCAATTCCCATGTCTGAAACTCAGTTTTTTTCATCTGTAGCATGAGGAAGCAAAACTAGGTGCATCCAAGGTCATCTCCAATCCAGGATTCTGACTCCCTGATGCAGGAGACCCAAGAAGTTCCACACTTATCCAGTCAGGGAACCAGGTCACATTCTCTGCCGGGGAGGGGCCCGAGACTGGAAGAGCAGGAGTGGCCACGAGGCCACAGCCCTAACGAGAGAGGTGAGAGGAGGCAAGCCATGCCTTGGACACCGGATCCAGCTTGGCCAGCCTCTGCCTGACTTTTGCAAGTGTTAAATTCCTGAGTGTGAGAAAAGACACCAGACCACCAGGGTCAGGAGAGATGAGCTTCTTTCTCCTCAAGCTAAGATCTGGGATGGTCTCCTGTGCATGTGTGGTTGTGTGATTGTGTATGTGCGTGTACGTGTGTGTGTTATGGGGTTCTTCCCTCCTTAGTGACCAGCAAGTTGGTGCTGCCCGTGAGAGATGAAGCCCTTGAGGTTAATCCCGTGTGCATTCCTCCCAGGCAATGATGGGCAGCCAGCCACCCTGCCACCCTCCCACATAGCTCTCACCTGGGGGTTGTCCATGTACCAGAGAAGGCAGTTGGCCTGGGTGTCCAGAATAAAGTACCTCCGCAGAAACTTGCCGCTGTTCTCATTCTCCTCGATGTCCAGAAACCCACAGATTCGGTTCTGACGATCCACATAAGGCATTCCTGGGCTCTGCTCACATCACCCTGCATGGCAGGAGGGAGGGAGATACTGGTGAGGAAGGTGAAGTGGGCTCTGCCTCGGGACCTGTCGGAACCTCACTCTGCCTTGACTCACCTCCTCAAAAAGTGAGGGTGGTACTCTCTCTCATCAGCTTCCTTCCACAGGGCACCCAACATTCCACCCAATCAGACCCTGGAAACCTCCATCAATTCCCTTCCGTAAGCAATTATCAAAATCCACTAACACATATTAAACTAACTTTCCTGAGGCTCTACCGTGTGCCACACAGAGCGTTAGGCAACTTTACATACATAGAGGATATGAGCCTAGACTTTGGGTCAGGAGCCTGGGTTCAAAGTCCAGTTCTGGCCACTTACTAATTGTGTGACCACAAACTATTTTATCTTTCCGCACCTCAGTTTCTGCATCTGTAAAATGGGGATAATAACAGTACCTACACCTCATAAGATTCTGGTGAGAATTAAGTGCTTGGCACATATTAAGCACTTCATAAACAGTAGGTACTATTATCACTCTTCACAAAAGCCTGGTAAAGTAGGCCATAGCCCAATTTTATACATAAAGAAACTATCTCAGAAAGGATTTAAGCTCCAATTCAAATACCTGGATAAAACTCTGCCGGGAACTCAGTCATCAAGAGCAGCCCCTCCAGCTCCATGAAGCTACCAAGGAATTACATCTGAGGGGCTCCTGGGGCCTGTGGCAGGGCCACATCCCTCAGCCCTGGGTTCACCTACTGCACTTTGCTGTTACCCAGAGGCCACTTGTAATTGGAAGGATGAGGGATCAGAGGAAAGCTCAGCCCCGACCACCTTCACTGACTACAGAAGGGGTCTCGGTGACGCAAGACAAGCCGGCCTCCCTGCTCCTGATTTCCTTCCTCTCTCTGAAGAGCCAAAGGAAAGGGCAGGAGCTCTGTCTCCTCCCCAAGGAGGATGAGCGCCTCCCACTGCACAGTTACACCCAACCTGGATGCCCAACACAGTGGGTCCACAGGGTCAGAAAACACCACATGACACTCAGAATTTCAAGGACAGATACCACCCACCGCTGGCCCTGCTTGACTCCAACAAACCAAAATTTACTGTGACCCAAGCCCACCACAGCCCTTAGTCCATAGCTAAACAAAGCTGTCAGACGGCTGGCTTAGGGCCATTCCCTGCACCACAACACTGGGTCAGCAAGTAAGCTACCAAGATGCCACACCCGCAATCTTCCAGGCCCAGGGAGGGCCAGTCCCACATTCCCACGAGATCAGGCTGATTCTAACAGTGGTAACTGGTGGTGTAGTCTGCTCTCTCCCACCCCCACAAGGGGCCTTGCAGCGTTGGGGAAGCTGCCCCAAGAAAAACACGCCCCCCGACCCCACCCCACACACACAGAAGGATACCAGGGAATAGTGAATCTCTTGGCTGTCCCAATGGGGACAGACAGCTCAGAAGGGAGACGAGACGGTCAGGGATCCCACGGCTACTCGCTGGGTAAGGATGAGGGACAAGGAAAAAAGAAGCAGGCAGGGAAACAGCACAAAGATGAAAGAGAGCAGCCGAAAAGGAAGAAAATGGAGCAGAAGTAAGAGACGGGAGGGAGAAAAGGATAAAGAAGTGGAAAGCGGAGGTTTAAAAAGATGGCAGAGGAGAAGGCAGTGGCAGTAGAGCGGAAGTGGAGGGCAATGGCGGCGTGGGGGGGGAGGGAGAGAAACACCGGGCGCAAAGTAGCATCACCTCTGTCTGATGCCCTGCGCTGGTGCCCTCCCCACCTAAGCTTCCATCCCAGCTGCAATCTCACCACCCGGCAAGTGTGAGTTCAGGAAAGGCAAAGAGAGGGGCTTGAGCCAAGAGTGAGGAACAAACGCCACGGGAGGAACTTGGTCTTCTCGCAGACGTTGGGTTAGAGATGGGAAGGCGAGGCCTGCTGTTGGCTGGGGAGGGAGTTTATCCTGAGACAGGATGCAGCTTCCCCTCTAGGGAATCAGAGGAAAACAGGAGTGCCAGGAGAAAGGCTGGGTCAGCCTTAGAGCGAGAGTGCACAGCTGTCTGGTCGGGGATGAGGGAGCTCACCAATCCCCCAGGAAAACTCAAGTTCCCTTGATGCCAGCCCAGCCCCTGAGACAGCATTTCCAGGGTTTCAGGGCTGGTGCCCCTCCTGGGACATCTCTAAGAGAAAGCACATAAACTGCACGGGATAACAGAGCCGACTGTCTCCGGGCTCTAGTGGTAAGCATGGCATCCAACTTCATGCTGGCTTTCCCAGGTTCCCTTCCAGCCCACAGGATTAATCATGCCTTTTTCTCAAGTCAGAGGCTAGAGAAGGTAGTCCTTCTGCAATCCCCCAACAGTCTACTTTTGTTGAGGGGGCTTCCCACTTGCACGGATCCATGAGTGGGAGAGGACCTTCATGTACTAAAAGAAAGGTAATAAAAAGAAGAATTCTGGTTCCAACATCTCCTGATTGTGGTTCTCTCCCCACCAAAAAAAAAAAAAAAACAACTGCTCAGATGTCCTGAGAAGCAGCTGAGTCACAGAGCTCACCAAGAATGTGGGAGGTGGGGGAAGGATCTGCTGCAGGAGAACCGAGCATCACAGGAAAACGTGGTTATAACCAGCCAACCACACAGCAGCAATGGTGCACAAAACACAAACCTGAGGCTCCAAGCCCCAATCCTCTGACAGTTCATTCTGACCCCATTTGTATATCCTTTGTCACAACAGCTGCTAGGATTTGGTACAGAGAGTCTGCTGCCCCCAGCCCCCAAATCCCCTCTCCCTGCTTCTTCAACCTGTCATCATCATCTTCCAAGTCTCCGCTGGCTCCTCCTCTTTTTCCCAGAGAGGCCCCCCAACACATGCCCAGCCCCAACAACTGGGCAGTGAGGGGAGAAAGGGAAGAGCTAGCAATTGGTACTTAAGGGGAGAAAAAGAACACCTTGATGCACAGATACATACTGTCACCCCAAAATTCCCCTACCAAGACCAAGGCAAAGCTTCCAACTCTCACAACGCTCCTCCAGTTATATAGTTTTGGCCGTTTTCTGACTCTCTAAAATCACTTGTTATCTTAAATTTCACGTTAACTCGAATTCCCCAGTGTAAAACTATTGGGTGGAGGGTAACACTGGGCAGTTTGTCCCAGGAGTTGCCCCCCACCCCACACCCTGACAGTGACTCTCCCCATCTCCTGGGACGACACGCAGTGTCCTCGCTGGGTCAGAGCACCAGGTAATCCTCTCTCGGGCTAGCTCCTCCTCCTTTGCTCTAATATCAAAGCGAAATCACTCCCCAAGCAGCTTCTTAGCTTTCACAACACACGGACGACGAAGAGCACAGAATACGTGCGCAGGAAGGGCCCTCGGCCCAGCGTTTTCTGTGTTTCGTGCAAAAATCACAATATAACAATGTTGGCATTTAAAAAAATCACATTAGGCAACTGTTTTCATTTTTGCATGCTTTTTCATGCCCCTGTCCACATAATCGGCCTTTTTAAAATTTTAAATTATATCATAAACACGTTCTATGTTGCTACACAGTCTTTATAATCATTGTTTTTAATAGTTGCATAACATTACTGGACTGGATTTACTATAATTTACTTAACCATTTCTCTATGATTAGACATTTGGATTATATCCAATTTTTCTAATGCTAAAATTCATATTCTCATGCTTTGTTTCTTCTTTTACAAGGAAACAGCAAAAATTCCAAGTAATAACATGACTAGATCATAGGTTACCATCTTTGACAATTCTTGAGGGCTATTACGAAATTGCTTTCTAAAAATATTTCATCTGTTTACATTGCAGCCAGCAATATATTGCTGCCATCACTACAATATTATATACATTGAATGTTCTCATTATTTTAAACTGTTGCTAGTTTTAAATATATAATGATGCTCAGTGAGGCTGAACATTTTTTCACATTTGTTTTCTGCTTCATCTGCCTTCCTGGACCTTGTTAAATGCAAATCAAAATTATGTGTACACACAATCAATTTCTCTCTCTCTCTCTCTCACACACACACACAAACACACACACACACACCCCAAACCAAACCAAACCAAAACATGGTCTCACATAATCCAAATAACTAAATAATGTATTTTAAGGAAAAGTACAATAGAAAAAAGGAAGTTTTATATGATCTAGATTTCTTCAGTATATAAGTTCCTAAGTATATGCTGCAAATGAAAACATGTTAAACATTTAATTTATGGTAAAAGTGAAACTTTCAGAAAGAAACTGAATTTGCATGAAGTTACTCATTGATCAGCAAAATGGGTTAAATGTCCATTAAACTGAGGCTCCTGGCCATCATTTGCAAGTTGACCAGATGAAGATCACAAGAAAAAAGAGTCAATGGCTGCCTCCCTTAGAATGAGACGAGAGGCACTGGGAGACATCCCTGTCCAAAATATCTCCTCCACTGCCCATTTCAATGCCTTAGGTTCCATCACTGGAGAAGATTCAAGCCAAGAACAAAATTGTCCCTTAGGAATTGAGGCAATTGACATCTTACCAGGCTCATTCATATACAAGAGACAGCTGGGACCAAGACCCTAAGAAAATAAAACATGCCCCCATGAGAGACAGAGGCACCAGAGGGGCTAAAAAATAAAGAGAAGATTGCTGCTTGAAACAAATGTCATCTGCTTGAAAAAATTTCCTAGGATTCTTTTTTTTGTTTTTTTTTGAGAAAGATTGCCCCTGAGCTAACATCCATGCCAATCCTCCTCTTTTTGCTGAGGAAGACTGGCCCTGGGCTAACATCTGTGCCCATCTTCCTCCACTTTATATGGGAC